TCTTTTTGTAGAAATGTCCTCCAGTGTGAACTTGGCCCCTTGGACTTTTCTGATATTAAACCCAAAAGACGCATTCACTTTGTCACTTCACAGCTGTGAAGAACCCGAGTTTTAAGGCTGGTGGACCAGGGTTTTTTTAAAAGATGGGAGAGTGTTGTTCACTAGTGCCGTAAACCTGTACTTAAGGCCGTTATCAATGATCTTGGAGTTAACTTAAGTACCCTAGCAGAATTTGTTATGGGGATGTGCTGTACGTACGTCAGTTCTGTATTTAAATCTATACAAAAAAATTCTTCAAAACACATACAGTAAACAACATTTTTAAATGTTGAAAATGTTCTCAATACTGATTTTCTGTGGCAGAAAGTTCCTATTTATAACGATAACCAGAGATTTTGTTTTGGTGGATCCACCTTTTCCATATAAAGGTCTCTCGCCTAATAACTTTAACTGTATCTAGACATGTATATGATTTCACTCTGATGGATATCTCTTCTATGTATTATAGGAATTCATTGCAGGCGTGCACAGCAGGTTCTCGATAAGGGGTATATAAATAATAATTGGATGTATTCCAAATTGTTTTCTACGTTTACATTTTGTAATGTGTTTTGAAGAATTTCTTTGTATAGATTTAACCCCTTAAGGACACATGACGGAAATATTCCGTCATGATTCCCTTTTATTCCAGAAGTTGTGTCATTAAGGGGTTAAATATAGTACTGCGGTACGGAAGGCATATCACCATAATGAATTTTGTTAGGGTGATTAAATTCGAGGCCTTACATGTTTTTTTTCATTATTTCTTGAGTGCGGTATTACGTTTTATTTAAAGTATACCCTATATCCTGTCCTCATTCTCATTGACTCATATGTCCGACAATGCTCATTACAACTGGTCGACAATTCTAGTTAATGGTACTATGCTTACCGCTGGTGACCTTTTTCGTAAAAGACCACACTCTGTGCAAAGTTCTAGTAATAACCCAATTGTCTCATTTACTAAATTTTTTTTTTTTTTAGCCCATTGTTAGTCTTTATGCTCTACATGCTGTATATTGCACTTTTATTATTTTGTGATTTATAAAACCTCAATAACAAAAATAATATATGCCTTTTACCAAAGCACCAGCATTTCTGAGGATAATTATACTGATGATAATTTAATATAATATAAAATTATATAATTTAATAATCATATTTATCATACTGATTATAAAATTATAGTGATTATATTGAATAGTCATATAGTTTATTAGGGGAGCTGAATTGCACCATGTACAATGTAGAATTAAAACACATTTTTTCCACCTAGTTAATCACTGTGACAACACTGAGCACCTGAAAATATTAATAAAAATATGTTATAATAAAAGAGGACTTTTATCCGTTCTGTCAAGGGGTCTCGGGAGTCTCTAGGCATTTTAAATGTTATGCAGTGAGCCCCAAAAGACCCTCTCCCTAGTAAAACATAGATTACTTCATTTTATATTTACATTGTTTTTATCCATTATTTTTACCGCAGAGCCACCATCCAATGATAAATATAGACACTGGGCCTCTTTCATGTCCAGTACATACCGATACAAACATTCACAGGTTGATTTACTAAATGGTTAATTGCCATGAAATTAAAACTAAATTGGTAAATTTATGGAAAAATATCTGACTCTGCTATTGTCACGGCCTGATTCTTTAGCTTGAACTTGCTATCTGATTTTATCTTCACTACAAATAACTGTTTAGTGGGCAAAGTATACATCTGTTAAAAATGGTATAGACAAGGAATTCAACATTTTAAGCCAATATACAACAACAACCAAAAAAAAGTGTTGCAGAATTTATCAAGTTCGGCTATTTTGCCATCAAACATGTTATGACCTTGTTAATTATTCACAAATTCCCAGTTGGGTGGATACATTCCTGTGTGTATTTGTATGTGTGTGTATAGTGTGGACCATGTGAATTAATGCATGTTAAAATGTGTGTATTTTCCGAGTGACATATCTCTAATTCCAGTGTGGAAGCATGTATTTGCATATAGTGTCGGTTTGAATCTGTATATTTGAATATAGTGTCTGTGTGTATTTGAATATAGTGCCTGTGTGTATTTGAATATAGTGTCTGTGTGTATTTAAATATAGTGCCTGTGTGTATTTGAATATAGTGTCTGTGTGTATTTGAATAAAGTGGATGTGTGTATTTAAATATAGTGTCTGTGTGTATTTGAATATAGTGTCTGTGTGTATTTGCTCATAGTGTCAGTGTGTATTTGCACATAGTGTCAGTGTGTAAGTGTGTGTTTGCATATAGTGTTTTGGTTTTTGTGTGTATTTGCATGTAGTGTCAGTGTGGATGTGTGTATTTGCATATAGTGTCAGTGTGGATGTGTGTATTGCATATAGTGTCATAAGGACCCTTTAGACTACCATACGTTTTCTAATGGTGGCTGCTGGTGAATAAATCACTGTATATACTCAGTACTGAAGTGGTTGTGGTGGCAAAGAGATGCATTACACGGAAAACCATTATATTTGGGAAACACGGCTTACCTTCCACAAACTGTATGTACAGCAAGTTCACCTCCAAGATGTAATATATTTTATCTGTATTTTCAACTAATAATATCACCAGAAAAAGCGTCACCCATTTTTCTGAGATTCTATGCATTCCGGACCGACGCAGTTTGATACTTTTGTTATGTGTTTAGTTTTTCAGAATTTCCTGCTTTCCCATTAAGTGCGCCATTCACAGTGGTGTTTAAGGACATATAGTGCTTCCTACTAAGGCCTTCCTACAAAGACCTCTTGCTAGGTCGAAACGTTGCTGTTCATTTTGTTGCAATAAATCTGCCTGCAGCTTTCACATTTGGAGTGCACCTGTGGCCATTGAGAGGGAGTGCGGTTCCTGTGACCAATTTTTTTCTAAATATATAACACACTATTGATGATAATGAAATGTTAAAAAATATATATTCTGCTGAAGAAAAATACTTGAAAAATTGTATTAATCGTGACTTTAGAAATGGCTCTTAAGTCTAGGATTTCAATAAATTTTTGAGGCAAATTTCTGTTGTAAAGCTTTTTGTAAAATTTTGTGTCTCAGAAGTATAAGTTAAAAAGCAGTGACCAAAGCTAGGAAATATTATACAAAAGAATATATTTGTAGAAAGTATTAGCCGCCTGTGGATGACATTTTTAGGCATTTTTATTGCTATGTTGACAGCAACGTAAAGACAAAGAAAATATTAAAACAGGAAAGTAGGTGTAGTGCCTGGAATGTCCATCAGGAATTGTATGCAACAACAAAAAGGAGAAACAGAAAGAACTGATAGTGTAGCAGGTTAAACACTTCTTAATGGAGTACAAATAAGTAAAATTGTGCACTCACACTTTCAGGGAGCTTAAATACAGCTCAGACTTAAACACTTGGGCAGAATGATCCCTGCCTATGAATATAGTGTAGCGCAGGCTCTTCTGATTGTCCCTGTGTATATTTGAATAGAAATATATTCAAATATAAAAGATAAATAAAAGTATATAGTGTAGCATGTTGAGCTAATAAGTGAGGGTAGATATATTGATAGGTTTACACTGACATATTATGGAGCCAAAATGCTGGCTCCAGAAATATCACATGAAGTGGTATGATCCCCACTCTAGGAAATAGGTGATGCGGATCTCCATGAATATATATGAAAGAGAAGTAAAACCACAATAGTGCACATTGTAAAAGTAGAGTGGGAAATACAATAAAATGAATAAAAATCTACTCACATGTGTTAGAGCAAAATTGGTTTGCTCAATCCAATAGGCTTACGCTTTATCAAAAGCATGCTTTATCAAAAGCATGTTACAGAGTAAATGGGACCTGTGCTGCTTAAATAGGTATGGAACATTTGAAAATAATGACCATGTGGCATCATTTAAAATTTAAAACAGTTTGAAATCATTAACACTGGATAGAGTAAATTAGAATCAAGTGAATTGAGGACGTTTCACTAGAAACGAGTATTACATACTCCCAGAGGACGTAGGAAACCAAAGGAATGGCAAAGAGAAAAACAAAGATGGTGTGGTCAGTGCGGCCCATGAGTCAATCTATAGAGAACAATCCCTAATAAGTATGGGGTGTAGGGTAGCTCCCTAAGTAGGAAGGAGTTCGGAACGAGGAAACTAAGAGATAGACCAGCATCCAAACGGATGGCACGGCTCCAACAAAATGGCACCCACCTACGAATAGATTTGGATCCAAAAACATGGCGGGAGTTTAGCGCCATCTATGGAAACTAGAAGAATAGAATTGTAATGTATCTTAATAGGATTTAGGGTATGCACGGTACATTGAAGCATAAACAAAAGCACAATAACGTCACTTAATCTGTAATAAAACACGAATGATGTACATACATATCAAAATAAATATAATAAACAGAATAATGATTTATAAAATAATAAAATTAAGATAAATCTTTCTACCAGATATTACTAGATAAAGTGCGTAATTGTAACTGGTTCTTAAAATATCTCTTTGAATACAAATGTGGGTATAGGTATAAGATGAAAGTATAGAACCTGATTAAAAAATAATAATATTGTAACAATTAAAAATATGAAAATATAGGGGGCGGAACTTGAACCTTGAGCTGAGCAGACTGATACCGTGTGAGCTCCCGCTCATATTTCAGAGATTATCCCAGGTAATTCCACCAATACTGGTGTCAGAGCACCCTACCCTGATCAGGGGTGCTGCAACAAATTTGCAGATACCTCACTCGGGCTCTCAAATTTCCAGGAGACCACGGTAGCCCATTGCGGTTTGCGGTTGGGGAAGCTGGGGGAAGGTGGCCAATTTCCCCGTTCCTTTGGCTGCCGAGCTGTCCTATATCACTCCAATTCTCCTCCTTCTTGGACCGGTGGGGGTTATCCCGGTCCCGCTGGTCTGGTTAAACCTCTGAATCCTTAAAGCAGCTTGCTGTGCTCACGGCAGCAGCATTCAATATGGCAGACGGGCTTAATAAGATGGCCCCGACATCAACCACGACATACAGGGAACTTGGCGACTCCACTAACAATGTCTTGCTGAGATTAGAAGCACACTTTGCAAGCTTTTATGAAAAGCTAGAGGCAAGAATAACAGAGCCACCTCCCCTGCAAGCTGAAGTGCCCCAGGAAGCCGAGGGCCAAGGCTTTTGCAAGCTTCCTTTGGGTGCAGCCTGCCATCAAACCCCTGAAACCTTCCCCACATACCTACCTCAGCCGAGGGCCAGTCGGGACTGGATCCCATCATAATTACCACACCAGCATCAGTCCGACACTCTTATTATATATATCCTTAATAAGAAGAACCTGGCTAAGAAATCCCAAGTCCAGTTGTGGGCCCTTAAACAGGCCCGAGGCTGGGAGGATGCCCTACCTCAACACCGTCACTCTGCAAAACCTGATGAACTCTCTGATCAGCCAGACTGCCAACCGAACACTGGAGTTGGCTGAAGCTCAGAATCCTGCAGTCAAGTTGCATCGTATTGATTATGCTGATATACTGCTACGCCCTGTGTTATAATCTCATTTGGTAACTTGTATCTGATCAAGCATATTTTCCTTTGATATTGCTTTCCTGGACAATAGTTTGGGATGTTTTTTGTTTTCTGAGTTAGGATAACCTCATGTCTAGCAATTTTATTAGCCTGCAAGCTTTTCCTACCAGCAAGCTCTGGAAAGAGGGTGTATCTTGTTACTAAGCCTGTGTTTTTCTTACCACTTTCATAAAAAAGAAAAAAGTGCAGCATTTCTTGATTTCTCCTGTCTTGCTCTGACTACCCTATTTCATGTTCTGCATGATCACCAAAGCATGTAATTCATCCCTGCACTTTCAAAAATAAAGAAAACAAAAATGTGAAAAGATATAGCATTATAAATCAACATGTACTTAAAAGTCTTGAGGTTAAAGACCTCTCATGATAGCTGTTCTAGATAAAGCTAGCCACACATGGGTTTAAAACTCATCAGAGAAGGACAGGAAATGAGTGTGGACGCGGTGGCCTTAGATTGTGCAAAATAAGAAAACTGCTCTCTTAAAGGACAACCGTAATCTCAAAATGTTTTAATACAATAATTCTTTCACCAAGTTTTGAAATGAAGTAGATCTTTAGTAAATAAAGTATAACGGAAAAAAACAAAACACCTCATCCCTACCTTTAGTATATGACAGGATCCTTCAGCTATAAACATGCCCTGTGGGTCAGACAATGTTTGAAAACCTACAGTTAGTCTCTATGGTATTCCGTGCTTCACTCCCTGCACAGAAACAGGGAAAACCATAGAGACTGTCTGGCCCAAAGTGAATGTATATGGCTGAAGGATCCCATCATATCATAAAAGTATTATTTAAACAGCATGCATGGTAGCAAGCAAATATGTTTAAATATTAAAAAATATTATTATAAAAAAGAACATTAACGGGCATAGGACACTAATCTTTATGTGTGTTACATAGTTACATAGCTGAAAAGAGAGTTGCGTCAATCAAGTTCAGCCTTCCTCACATATGTTTTTGCTGTTGATCCAAAAGAAGGCAAAAAATCCAGTCTGAAGCGCTTCCAATTTTGCAACAAACTAGGAAAAAATTCCTTCTTGACCCCAAAATAGCAGTCAGATGTCTCCTTGGATCAAGCAGCTATTACCCCACTAATTAGAAATGATATCCCTGTATGTTATGTTTTTGCAAGTATTTATCCAATTGTAGTTTAAACATCTGTATGGACTCTGATAAAACCACCCCTTCAGGCAGACAATTCCATATTCGTATTGCTCTTATTTTACAAAAACCTGTTCTTTGCCTTAGATGAAATCTCCTTTCTTCCAGTCTAAATGTGTGACCTTGTGTCCTATGTATAGCCCTGTTTGTGAATAGATTTCCAGATAAAGGTTTGTACTGGCCCCGAATATATTTGTATAATTTTATCATATCACCTCTGAGGCGCAGTTTTTCCAAACTAAACAGATTTATATTTTTTTAACCTTTCTTCGTAACTAAAATGCTCCATTCCTTTTAGGAATAGATAATCTCCTAATTAAATCTATGTCTAGCAATGTCCTCCATGAATTTGTCCCCCTGGACTTTTGTGTCAATACAACCAAAGGACACATTCACTTTTAAAAAATTCTTTATTTAACCACAAGTACACAAGAACAAAACATGACAGCAACAGGAGGAGTAAAAAAAAAAAGTAAAAATAAAAGAGGGAATACGGTTTACAGGGTTAGTTCCCCATAATTCACTGCCAAACAAACACATATACAGCTTACAGAAGGGATACATCTATAGAAATAAATCAGAAAATCTCACTTTAACATATATGTTATGTCAATATTTTATAATCTACTTTATTGGCCTCATGATTAATACATATAAACTAGTTTGTGTACATCCCCCTTCTCTAATCTGGCATTACCATCTCCCTCTGCTTAGATTTCAATAGAGATCTTAATTTAGCTAGAGAGATTAGTCAGTCACGTTAATGATACATTGTTCTGGGTTTGCTCTCCTCTGGATTCCTCAGATTGCGGCACCAGAAAAATATTATTCCATATTCAATGCTCCTGAGTCTGCTCTTCCCTGGGTTCCTCGGATTGTGACAGTTATTCCATTTTAAACGGTCCTGGGTCTGCCCTCCTCTGGGTTCCTTAGATTGCAGTATACTGTATGTAACTGTTGGTAAGATAAAATTGATTGTCAGGAGAATGAGAATATAAACAAGATAGAAAAAAAGCAGACGAAGCAAAGTTGAGAAGTGAAGAAACAAGCCGAAAAAATAGAAAACAAAAACTAATAAACGTAAAAGAGGGAAATGAAACTAAAATAAGGGCAGACTGAGGATAAACATGAATGAAAGTAGATGGAATTCAATAAAGGTAAAAGGAAAATGGAAATAACTGACGGATGAGAGAGATGGAAATGAGGAAAGGGAACATGGGAGTAAGTGATGTACGAGGGAGATGAAAGGTGATACATAGGGTATGGGAGAAAGAAAGGTAGGAAGAATCAAAAAATTGTGAAAATAGAGGATTTCTACCATATATTGGTTCAGCTTTTTCACTACTGAAAACCTGATTCAGAAACGAACCAGATGAACCAAAAGGGTTAAAAAATGGCGCAGTCCGTGTCCTGCAAATATAGATATTATATGAATATTGTGTATCTATTTAGCAGAACACTGATAGGAGCATTTTCTCACCATTTGGTTCATGATCAAGTGAGAATAAGTAACGTTTAGACAGAAAAACAGACACAACGGAAACGAAAATAACTAGAAAATATAACAAACACCAATGCCTCTTTTCCACTGAGCGGATCGGTTCGGTACGGTTTGCTATTTTGAGTGTTTCCATTATGAAAGTGGCCCATACACATACCGCACCATTCAGGGTCCTGCTTCAGATGTAGAGCCATAGGAAATGGTACGGTTCGGTTAGGGCAGAGCTACTATACAATCCATTGATAGGTGGACAGGAAGAGCATTTTTCTAAACCCTGCATGGCCCCTGAAGGTCTGACTTGCAGTGGAAACGCTCACTAGAATAGGCTGGACCATTCTAGACCTTCCAAACTGTACTGACCCGAACCGATCCGCTCAGTGGAAACGAGGCATTACAGTACGAAAAATCTAAAGTAAATATGAATAAAGCTCAGCTAAATGGTGACACAAATTACCCAAAGAAAAATGATTTCTTTTCCACTGATAAATTAATTGTTGATATGCAGAGAATTATAGAGAAGTAATAAAATAACAACATCTATTTGGGAAAATCTGAATGCACAAGTCTAGTACACAGAACAAAATTATAAACGCAACACTTGTTTTTGCCCCCATTTTTCAAGATGTAAGACTTTTTCTATGTACTCAAAAAGCCTTTTTCTCTCAAATATTGTTCACAAATCTCTAAATCTGTGTTAGAGAGCACTTCTCCTTTGCCGAGATAATCCATCCACCTCACAGGTGTGGCATATCAAGATGCTGATTAGACAGCATGATTATAGCACAGGTGTGCCTTAGGCTGGCCACAATAAAAGGCCACTCTGAAATGTGACAATATACTGCTTTTCCCATTCTGCAGAGTGCGTGAACATTAGTACATGCCTTTTCATCAATGGTTAAAAAGTGATTGTGACATTCAAATTGTTCTCGAATGATTCTAAAATGGTTTCACACCTTGAAGGACCAGCGATTTTGCGGCTTCTTAACCACTATAGCAAACTGTAATGGGCACGGTGCTTGGAACTTCCTTTGACCTTAACTTAAAAGCATTTAATATGTTTTGGCCTTATAAACGTGCTATATTTTTGTATGATCAAATATGGATAGTTTATGCAAAATATAAAATAAAAGTTTGACCACTTGCTGCTCAGTGAGCAATGCCTCCTTAGACACACACCCATTCTAACATACATCCTGACATAGCCCTGTGCATTAGCAGATTAGCCACTGACATGTACTGGACACCGATCTGAGCTGTAGGGAGACCTTTGGCATCTCATGTTATGGATGTTGTTCAGCTCTGAAAGGATATCTGTGCCCCTAGTCACACACAATGAATATGAGCACTGGGCAGCTGCTGATTACTGTCAGAATATTTATATCGGCAGACATTTTGTGCTAAGATAGAAATTAAAAGTGTATATTGCCAGAGTCACGCAGAACAGAGCGGACTCCATTTTGGATTCAGGCTAACAAAGACAGACACAAAATGTATTTGCTTTCTGTAACTAGCCAAACCAGGCTGAGCTTAGGAATGCTTTATGTCAGCGGTTCCCAAAGTGTGGGTTGCGACCCACTGGTGGGTCGCAATGCGATTCCCAGTGGGTCGCGCTGACAAACACATCCAGGGCCGCAGGGGACTTGGGCAAGCAGACTGACACCAGGAGGGAGCCCGGCGGCTTGCCCTGGATGCCGCCGGGCTCCCTCAAATCAGTCTGCTCAGCAGCTCCGGTCTGCAGCTCCGCCGGGTGCAGAGCTGCAGACCATGTGATAGAAGTCTCACAAGCTCTCAGAGTGTTACCATGGCAACACTCTCAGAGCTCGCAAGACTTTTATTACACGGTCTGCAGCTCTGCACCCGGCGGAGCTCAGACCGGAGAGTTACCCCACTGGACCACCAGGGAGACACTGGACCACCAGGGAATTCAGGTAGGACACAGCCCCCAGACATCCCACTCCCCCCATGTAACCCCTTCACTCCATGCCCTCCCCATGTAACCCCTTCACTCCATGCCCTTCCCCATGTAACCCCTTCACTCCCTGCCCTCCCCCATGTAACCCCTTCACTCCCTGCCCTCCCCATGTAATCCCTTCCCTTCCTGCCCTCCCCATGTAACCCCTTAACTCCCTGCCCTCCCCCATGTCACCCCTTAACTCCCTGCCCCCCTCCCCATAAACTGTAACCTCTTCACTCCCTGTCTGTGAGTAAGCAGTTGGATGTCTCTAAAACTGATTGCCATGATGTGCAACGTTTAGCTTTCTCTGTCTGTGAAATACCTCATTAATCTTACTAAGTGACAGTTGATGCTGTTAGCCGTTGGATTGTTTTAATATTGCCATTGTATTGCATACTTATGTTATACTAAATACTAAATATTCACTGATTGTTATCATGCATGCTGCATAATATTATTATTATTTTATTTGTCACAATAAATTATATCTATTTTTATAACAAATTGTGATTTTATTTGTATGGAATACATTTCACTTACATTATAACGATCTCTAAGATCTAAGAGAATTGAAATAGTGGGCAATTCTCAACTGTATAATATTATCATCCCATAAATATCCCCACATTACGAAATTCAAAAGATTAATACATATGATAAGAGAATGCCAGAAGCCACAAGGCACCATAGCAACTTTATTGAGCTTAATATATATATATATTAATATCAAAATGCAGTAAGAATAAAATTTCATATAGATATATACTTTTTTTTATTTTTTTTATTTTTACATTTTTTTATTTAATTTAATTTACTTATTATTTTGTAATAATTTATATATACACTATATATAGTTATTGTATACACCCTGTTCCAAATTATTATGCAAATTCTATTTAAGTGTCACAAAGATTAAATATTTTGTTTTTCAGTTTAACTCATGGATGGCATTGTGTCTCAGGGCTCTTTTGATCACTGAAAACAATCTCGGACACCTGTGATAATTACTAAAAAGAGGAGAGTGGGTGTGCCAGCGCTGATATTTTAAAAATACTCTAACAGTCTATGAGAAATATTCAATAAAAAGCTGCTATAACATCTAAATATCTTTAGAAATTAGAACTTAGGGTAGATGAAGCGCTATATTTGAATGTATATAGTAATGGAGATAAAAAAGGCAGTACCTCAGAGTGTCTTTTTTAAAAAAAAACAAATCTTCCCAGTTTTTAGTTTCTAAAAAACATAAGGAACAAACAAAACGGACATAGTGTATACCGTATAATGAAATTAGATAATAGAATCAAAGGGATAAATTCCCACTCACAATTTAAGGAGCTAAAGTTTAATAGCTCAATCTTAGCGCTCTTGGGGTTCAGTAAAGGCGACCCTCACCCTTTTTGAGTATCAGTGCTTCTGGTGTTCTATTAGGATGAAAGAGAATGAATATGGTGCAGTACCGTTGATCTTAAGTGAAGATAGTTAACCAAGATGGGGTACTTACAAACTTAGAGCCATCCAAGTCGGCTCTGGTCTGTGCGCTTGTGTGGTTTAGGACCACACACCTTCTTTAGAAAAAATGTAGCAGGGATAATGCCAATAACGTGAAAAAAATGTACTATATTTATTATAACAATAACAGTATAAAATATATATATATATGTATATATATATATATATATAAAATAATAAAATTAAATTGGCATATAAAATCCAAAGTCTCACAGTCTTATTCCAGGGACGCGTTTCGCCTATACAGGCTTCCTCAGCTGGATATAGTGATGTGATCTCTCATGGAGTTCTCCTGCTATATGTACCCCTCTACAGGGTAAGTAATTGGTGTTCAGCTTGTATTTTCGTGGGCAATCACCATGGGAACGGTGATGCCCTGCGTTCCAAGCCTCTTTCTCATTCTTTCTTCCGGTTTTGAGCTGCGTCGCGTCACTTCCGGTTTTGCCGATACGTCATTTCCGTGCGTTCCACTATGCGGTTCACGGGTTCTTCCTTCATTCCAGTCACATCGGCATTCGTATACAAGGACATAAAGTACAATTATACAATGTTGCAAGTTGCAGACTTCTGTTACAGTTTCTATACACTCCCACTCAATGAAATTGCATAATAAATGATAATATGAAACGGAGGAAATACCAATGATAAAAATAATGCAATAAGATCGTTTTTGTATACATTAAAATTATTATTCTTCTGTTAAAAGAACACTAATAATTTAATATTTATTATAAGACACATAGCAATATTAGAAGCTTAAATATATACAAAGAAACTTTTTTATAAAATTTTAAAATATATTAAGATTTGTGTATAGGATTCTAATATCCCTTCCTCTATGCCCAAAAAGAAGTATTAAAATGTATATATTTAAGCTTCTAATATTTGATTTTTTTTTTTTTAAAAGACACTCTGAGGTACTGCCTTTTTT